TGGGAGTTAAGGCATCTTTTCCTGATGTCTGTGCTGCCAGTTCTCTCTCCGGCCCAAGGAGATGAAATGGACYCGTGCTTTGTTTTGTGTTCACAAGAGCAAACTGAAGCTTATGTTCCCAAAATCTTGGCTGCATTTCCCCCAATTGCACTAATGACTGATCAAATCAAAGATTTTAACTTTAACAAAAAGCTTCACATTGCTTGTGTCCTTAGACCACAGAACTGCAGCAATATCAAAACCATTAGAGTAGAAATAAAGTATGTTCAAGTTTTTCCCTAACAGCTGTTACATGSATATTGCAGAAAATATTGAAAAATGTTAAAAAGTTTAGATAAAAATCCTGACTTGGCTGTGGTTGCATAAGAGTTTGATTACTTAGAAGTGGCAGCTACTAACACTTATTAAACTATTGAAAAAATGCAACAATATTGTGTTTTATCTGTGTGTGAGAGATTTTGCAAGTTTATTTGTGTCTTTCCTATCTACAGTGACGTACAGAGACTGATATGACATACTGAAATTGCTGAAGTGTAGCAGAAAAATAACCTACATTTATTTTCCTTGTCAATCAGTATGAACAAAACAAATAAACTATGTGAACAAGAAAAACCTCTTTTYCCCTGGTCATTTAAGGGTAGGGCAATGATCTAGAGCCCATTTGGAAAAAYGGTAGATTATAACCACTAGTATTATTTTTTTTTTCAATAACACTCAATCACATATTTGTTTTAATATTGTGGTATAGACTAGTGCCTAATCAGTTAGGGAAATGAATGAAGTAAGTTAACAATGGCCTGAAATAGTCTTTATTTTTCCTTACAGAGGATTACATAATTAAAAATTATTACCTAAAATTAGAATAAAATAATATACATTTATTTCATATGAGAGTACAGAGCTGCAGATCTTTTAAGCCGATATAGGAACGGGTTTCTGCACAAGGAGTGCAGACCCTCTGTGTCTACCAGCTCTTTCCTCTTCCCTATGGCAGAAATTGTTTCTCACTGGTCTCTGCACCCAGTTGTAGGAGCTGAACTGGTAGAGAAGTAATGATACCAAAAAAAAAAAAAAAAAAAAAAAAAAAGGCATATTTTCCTACMAGTCCAAATCCCTGGCTAACTATCTTCACTATCAAATGACAGTGTTCATGCAAGCAAGGGAAGAGAGCTGGACGAGAGACAGAGGATCTTCTTTTGTTTCCAGTACCTGTTAGTTACTAGATGGGTTTACCTGTATCACCCAGCTGTGCCATTGACTTTGCAGAGAGCACATAGCAGAGCCTTTTTGATTTTTTTTTTCTTCACTATTTATATGTGGCTACTGCAATGATGGGGAACCTGAAGACAGAAATAGACTGTGGCTTTATTTTGTTTAGTTCCTGGCACAACACAACACAATTTCTTCCTCAATTTCCTCCTTAAGTGTTGAGGCTGGGAAATAGTGATCATGAGRAACAATGGTATTCAGACCTTCTTGATTTAATGCTAAGTTTGCATAGCCACRCTAAATATCTTATATTTATATTTTTTGGGTTGATTAGTGAAATAACAGTCTTGAATAGCAACTTTCCTTCTTCCCTGAAGCAATGTTCCCACAAAAATAGAGGAGTAAGGATTTTAACTTAGCTCCAGCTGCGTTGTGCAAATGTGAATGAAATTTATTCACCTGAAGGAAAGAAATCTAAAGTTACCTTGAAGAAACAAAAACAGGTTTATGTAAAGTGAAGACTAATAATTGCCTAGCTTCTTTTTTTTTTTCCCCCCAGAAACACGATAATGATCACTGAAGTTTCTGATTTATGAGATAGGTATTGATCATTTTCTACATGAGAAAAAGCTATAAAAGTGGTGGGTTAATTGCAGGATATACCATTAATAGGTGAGATACAGTTATGCCTGATTTCCAAGCTGGACTCTCAGTGTTACAYCTTCTGGAACATAATTTATATGTATGTTATGTTATGTACAATCATCAGGAAAACTTTGCAGTCTGTACACATAGAGATCTCTGCATCTCTTTCTTCAGTCCTTCTTCACAYTGATTGCAGCAAGGATTTGTATTAACAGGGAATGCAGTACTGAGTGTTTGCAGTGGTTTTGAATAACTGTTTCTGTAGGATTCCAGAAATGGCATTCAGTTCCTCAAACAATTTCTGCAAAGTAAGCAGCWTACTCTGAAGTCTGTGTTAGGAAGAGAAACAAAACCAAAATGTGAATCTCTCAAAGTACTATGCTCCTTTTGTGAAATGATTCAGTGGCTTAATGARTTTAATTTATTTTAGGTTGTGGGGRATCCTTTATCCACTGTATAGAAGCCTTAATGTCACAGAAATATGACAGATCCTGTACTTACTGCACTGGAACTTAATTATTTGATAGCATAAGGACTTGAAATCCCTACATTTCCTCTCAAGAAATTTTCATTGCATACACTAGATGTTTAATAGAAACTAGAGTATGGTTAACCTAGATTTTTCAGTGCTTGAAATATCTTTGTATACTTTGCTAGGATGTTTTGGTTTTATACCCAGAAAATTTCAAAGCAGCTTTATGAAAGATTCCCCAAATACTATCAATAGTATGTGGTTATTTTTCATTCTCTTCAATTTTTCACGTCTTTTTACCCTTTGAAGTGCTTTTGTGTATTGTACATGAATGTGACTGTTTCATTTCATTACACTCTTTTTCAATAAAAATCTTACAATGCCTGATTTTCTCCTCCTAATTACTATAAAGGAGGCTTTTAAATTTTTTGTCTCAGTGTGAAAATCTCCCTCAGAATGTTACAATAGCTCTTTTAACTGGCTTCCATTCCTGATGGCTACTGGTGTACATTGTACTTTATTTTCCCTYAGTGGTTCTATAACAGCATTTCTGTAGAACAGTAAAGCTGTGTAAAGTTACATGATAAGCGAGTGAGGACACAAAATTTCAGGATCAGCGATATGCACAATACAAATGAAAACTAATATAGTGAAAAAGTAAGTGATTTGAAGTTCTCATCCTACCAACAAATTTATTTTCTTTTGTAGCTTCAGTGTCTGGGGCTTTTTTGTACCTTTCATAAAATACAATTTAGTGAATTTGTGTTAGCATGAGTGGGTATAAGATGTGTAATTGCCTATCAAAATAAAAGTTAATATGAATCTGCAAGAACAGGATGTGTTTGTTCTACTATATATTATACATTCTCAATATATACTAAAAATTTTTTTTCCTATTTACAAATAAAAAAACTTTACAAGTGATTTATTGAGAAAAAAAATGAATGCATTTATTTAGATAGCTTTATTGGCATGTATACCTATGTACCTGTTTGGAAAATAATAAAAATTGATTTTTGGGGCAGCCTGTGCTAGTAGCTGTAAAAATATTTGCTCGTCATCATCAAAGATATGAAATATCAGRGATTGCAAACTTCAGGCAGATTGTATGAATTACTTTCCTCATCCTATATTGAATTAAAAATTACAGATAGAAAGTGACAAAAATCAGTGTTTGTGCATAAAGAGATCTTCTTTCCTCCTAGATTTTTGATTTAGATGCAACATTTCTGCATATCAAAGTATGATGGATCAGGGGTTAATTGTTTGCATTGTGTTATATCATTTCAGCTGTAGCACAGGATGATGTAGTGGAGTATAATCAAACCTGACATAGTACAGTACATTGAGTGATGATGAAGACCACAGACGGTTCACTGGAATTTGTTATACTGAAAAATGCATAATTCCCCRATGAAATGTTCAGCAGTTTATGTTTTGTTAATGAGGACCCGGAGTCTAATTGCTCTCTGTGGCTTTTGCCTCTAGGAACATTCACGGGGTCCATAGCCTACACTGAGTTTTTTTCCTTCCTCAGGCCTTTTAGGAGCTGACACTGTGCAATAACTGAGCAAACCCAGAGATCAATGTTGGGCTCCTGAAAGCCTGTTCTTAGGGCTTTCTCCTTGTGGAAGGTCTTTATTGTTTGATGTTAGGGATATTACAGGTAGCTGAAGTACACAGGCTTTGAATAGAGCATACAAAAAGTTAAATTGCAGCAGAAATAATGGATACACATTGCTTCACATAATTGGTATTCCTGCCCATACAAGGTYGTAGGTCAATATCAGCTAAAGTTCAGATTTTTCTCTCTCTTTCCTCTCATGTTAATGAACTATGCCCAGAATATATATGTAACCACTGAAAATGCAGTTATAGTTACTTTTTCCAAACTCCAGATCCTTTCGCAACACGCTGCTGAACCAGAAAGGGTATTTTGGTATCTCTCYTCTTACTGAATTGGTCTCTTACTGAATGGAATAATGAAAATTATCCTGTTGCCTCCCTTGTTTGAAAGATTTGGTTCCCCATATTCCCACTTATTTTGGAGTGCCAGGCAGAAAAATTTAAAGTGCGATTCCTTAGTAGATTTTATTTCTTTTAATAAATTTTAACAAAATTTTAATTTTATTTATTTTGTTTGAGAGCTTTTCCGGTGTCCTGCAGTTGTTCTCTCTTGACCTGTGGGAAGGTTTTGGAATACCATGTCAAAGTCTCTTTTCTGTTCTGTGCCTAAATTCTGGAGACATAGATTCTGAAAACATGTGCATGTGTGGGTATTTTAGAATTGATATACTTTCATTTCTAGGTTTCTCCCATAGGGAAAAAGAAAAAATATTGGTAGAGATACACAGCTGTTTATGGGASCTGAGAAATTAATGTAGTTTCTAGATTAGTTTTATCTTTCTGCTTCCTGCTTCACTGGAACAAGCCCATGTGCAGCCTTGTCCAACAGTTCTTTAGCCARGGTTTTCTGCCTGAGATAGTTACACTACATTTGGAAAAGAAATCAACTCTCCATTCTAGTGCTAGTATCATTGTAATTCTTGTTTCATGTGTGTGGCAGATTGTATTACAGAGCCAAGTTTCATGCACTTCTGATTAAAACGCTTCCAAACCAAACAGTATGATGCTGCTTTGCAAAGTTATCAAATTGTTCGTCTTATTTTCACAGCTCACCATGTTAAAACTGGGACCTGTGAAGTGGTGGCGCTTCACAGATGTTGCAACAAGAACAAGATAGAAGAGCGATCACAGACGGTGAAGTGTTCCTGCTTCCCTGGGCAGGTAGCAGGTACCACCCGGGCAGCTCCTTCTTGCGTTGAYGGTGCGACTCCTTCTATTGCTTCCTTTCTTTGTGTTCCTGGGAGTTTTTGCTGGCTTAATGGGATCAACGARACTCACTCCATTACAGAGAACTATTTAAAGCAAAAGCAGGAAAGCTTCTGCATTTTGAAGGGGGTGCCCAAGGTTAATGGGAGGAAGATGGAAAAATTAATTATTTGCTCTTGCTCTATGGAAATGTTAAACAAAACCATTAGATGACAGTGAAAGAGATCTCTTGAGAGGCTGAATTTGATCTAACTGAAAGAGGACTCTTGGAGTTGCATGAAATTCACTTAATTAAAAGTAGTTWTGCAAAATTTACATGAGGATATAATTTTCATTTGCCACAGTCTTACATCTAATTTATATATATTTATCACACAGAAAAAAACCAAGCAAACAGGAGAGTTTTGTCTGGTTTTACACCTACACTATTATTCCTATTCACAGTGCAATATTAATGTCTTACTTAGCTATTCTGGTGTAGGCTCATATGTTTTATTTGGGAAAATAGTAGCTGATTTTTTAMATCTCTTTCTCTAAAAGAGTAGCAGGATTCACCCTTTACATGATCTCTTTAATGCTGATACACTGGGGAATGAATTTAGTCAAGCTATGCTAGGTTATATGGTAGATCGGGCAAAACGAGGACTCTACTTAAAATTTTGAAATTTGGCTGAGCAAGATAATGAGGTTAGAAACAAATACTGTGAAGAGATTGAASCACATTACACCTTTTGCAATCTAAACCTAATTTCTTATGAAGGTTCTGAGATGGCTGACAATCACAGACTACCTGTCAGTCAACATATTTCTAATGTTTTCCTGGGAAGCAAAATGAACGTTGCAGCATAATGACCTATTAAAGTGTCCATTTCCACAAAATATGAATATATTTGTTCTCCTCTCTTGTAGCTTCAATAGTGGAGCAGAAATGGTGGTGCCACATGCAGCCATGTCTTGAAGGGGAGGAATGTAAAGTTCTTCCAGATCGTAAAGGATGGAGCTGTTCCTCTGGGAATAAAGTGAAAACAACTAGGGTAGGTATGATACCAACCTGACATGTTACCAACAAGTAAAAAAAAAAAAAAAAGTGCACAGGAAATTGGGTGCACATAGAAGACCTAAGTTGAGAAGACTAAAGAAGCACAGGAAGAGAGTCGTACTGGGATTGGACTTCCTGGTCCCACACACTTTTCTCAGCATACTTTTCAATTGCTTGAACATAGTAAGCTGTGTGCCAGACCTTCTCAGGTAAGCATTGGGGGTAGTAGAGTTGATCCCTTCAGCTAACAGTAATGATCCMATGTGTTATAATCCAATATGTATTTCTTTCTGAAATCAGTTGCACATAGTCTGTACATTTTGCTAAGCTTTTCATTCACAGGATGGCAAACAACTGCATTTTTATCAGTTATATGGAATTAGTTTGTTTCTATATAGAAACTGCTGAGTATGGTAAGCATTTGATGTGTCATTACAGTAGGATCTAGTTCTTTCCATCTTGTGTGACTGGGATTTACTAAAAACTTTTGACAGAGTTTCAGGGAGTTCCTTTCCTCTGTTTGGCACTTTTCATGTTCTTGGTTCAAAATTATATTAACAGAAATATATTTGGCGTTCATCACATACAACACCTGACAACAAAGTAAACATGCTGTCATCTTTGCATTTGAGCACCTCAGAGAAACAGAAGGAAAATAAATTCTTCAGATGGGCATTCAACACACAGACTTCCTACAACTACAGCATTGTATCTCAGTAGGGTCAACACATTCTTTCATCAACATACAAAAGATCAAAATGCACTCTGAAGACAGATATGCATGTGTTTAATTATAAACACCTTCTCCCTTACACCCCACCACACATAGTCATGACTTATTTATTTAAGTATTTAACAGCTTGTAGTGTCAGGCCATAATTTACTGGAGTGGAGTTTACTCTGTGCAGGTGTTTGAGTATCTGTGTAATTTTATTGAAATCTTCCTTGCATAGGCACTAAATTTCTGGTAAACATTGGTTGGGTGCAACACAGCATGCACTGACTGAAATATATTCCTTCTGTTCCACAGAGAGCTCTAYATGTAACAGTTTCTGTAACTGTAAGCCGCTAAAACATTTTGAAATTCTTTGAAGGAGGGATGCTTCCTAAATATTTGTTTTATGATTCCATTCCTGAATCCACATTCAAATGTGTTTCTTCTGAAGATAACCTTGCTGGAATGCTGTTCACAATTAACTTTGTGCATGCCAATGCAAATCTGATTATATCTATGTAAAATGTATGTGCTTATATAATATAATCAGAAGGAATGAGATAGAATTTAATCATAGAAACAAGAATAGAAGAATTGTGTGTGTTTGAAATCTGTCCTGCCTACAATGTGGCACTATTAGTGTTACAGAATACATGACATTTTATGTATTGAGAGGGTTTAACAAGTGCTAAGTAAAAATGTGGATCTGGATTACATTTCTGTAGAAAGAAGAAGGAGATCACAAAAGGGAGAAACCGTCAATTATAATTGCTTTGATGAGATTTTTTTTCTTAAAAATTTGTCAGAATATAGGTTTCTCTGCATTGGTTGATGTCATTGAGTTTTTTCCACTGTTAGGGATCTACAGAAGCCCAAGGCTCTYGTCCTCAGGAGCTTATGCCTTTATTGTTTGACTTTTAGGTCCATCTTTGCAGCAGCTGAAATTTKTTGTTCTCCATGGTGGGGGCAATCCTCAGGACTTATTTCATACCTCTTCAGTAATGATGCTTTGGGAAAGCCAGTCTTTTTTATATTTGCTGTCATAAACAATGATTCAGTACATTAACCTGCTTATAGACCTAGCACCACTAAAAGGAAAATATTAGCCACCTTAAATCCCCACTATTCTGCCTTCTAGTTTGTCCAGATATTGTATTTTCCCCCCCTTCGTCCTTCATTTCCCACATAGCTGCAAGGCTGAGGCAATAGGAAACTTGTGACTTATAAGAGACATAATTCGGATGGCCAGTAAAATATATATCATTATTGGAAATGTGAGTGGTTCTTTGTGTTAAGAGAGTAGCTTATTATCAAAGGACAAGTACTTCTCCCCAATATGTAGTTACTACCATATTTTTGTAGCTTCTCTTTCTGCTACCCAGTCTATGTCACTAAAAAGAAAAATTCTAAAGTGTTCTGCTTCAAAATTTCCCCCCCCCTTTTTTTTTTCTTGGTGAGTAAAATAAAAATAACTGTACAGAGAGCCAGTATTAAAAAGTCATGAGTAATACATGATTAKCATGTATAATGTAACAGCAGAAAATAACAAAGGGAACTGAATAGCTTGGGTCATTTAAGTGGATTACAGAAAAACCTTATCAAGGCTTTYCTGAAAGGCCAAAAATAAAGTCTTCCTTCACCCCCAAACATTTTCTGTTTGCCTCCTTCATGTGCCAAAATCCTAACCCAATTACCTTCTGAAGTACTGTCTTCTCTTCTACAGGATGCCAAGTTTAAAAGYAGCACCTACTTTGAGTAGACACTCTGAGCACCATCTTGAGCTGTTAATGGATAACGTTTATGTTAGGAATAAAATCAGTGGAGGAAGGAGGTAATTTGCTTGTCCACCTCTGTTAGCATATTTAATCTTCCTATTGCAAAAAATTATGATACCAGCTTCCTAATACTTAAGGTATTAGTCACTAAGCAAAAAGGCCAGATGAAGAATAGGAGAAATCTAATTGATATTTAAAAATTAGTCTACTTGAGATATCGTATTTTGTTCTGCTATAGAGCTCTAATGAGGTCATATATGAATAATGAATTAGAAGTAACATGAATGCTATTGTACTCAGAATGCAAATGTTAAGAAAACAAATTTGAAAATTATTTACCTCCAGAATGCAAAATCAGGTATTATTTCCCTAATTTTTTTTTTGCGTATTGGTGGGAAAAGGCTGATATTAAGAATTAACTATAGAAAAGAAGAGAATACAGGGAAAAAGTGTGTATGAATGAGTACTGAGTTAACTTGTGCTGATTTAGAGTTGACTATTTTGGGTCTATGTAGCCTGCAGGAGAGGAAGGGGAAAAAAGACAATGACAACTTAGGTAAATCAGTAATTTTTTGGACTTCATATAAAGAAGTGTGTTTGTGTTCCTGAGTATAATACCACAACAAAAGAGGATGTTCATGAATACATTAGGAGAATTATGAGATGATTATGAGCACAACTGAGATTTTACCTGGCACATTTGGGCATTCTCCTCCAGATGGATAAACTGTTGTGAAAGGATACAATTTATTTTTTCTATATGGCTARCTTCAATTTTTGATAAACAAACACAAAAATTTTGTCACACTGCCCTCTTACAATGGTGAGAAGTGTTTAAAAAATCCAATGGATTTTTTTTTTTGCATTTGAAATTTTTTCTTCTTAGACTCTCTTTCTAATATAATTACTTTAATTCCAGAAATTTTCCTGTGTGTTTCCTGTCTTTCYTTTTGTTTCCTTTCTTTTCTTGCAATATAGGAAAATGTCTGTACAAAACAAAGGTATTTTCCCATCAATTGAAARCTACAAAATATATCAGTATTATGTATAAAACTGACAGTGACATTTAAAAAATGCTCTGAGTTTTATATTAAACAGAGGAACCCTTTACAAAGACAAAMCCCCAACATTTTGCAGTCAGATAATGGCTGAGGAGAAAGAATTAAATATTTCTCTTAGTTATGGGGTATATTCCACATCAGAGATCTGTCACTGTATAAGGCTTTTCCCTGGGCAGATCTAGATGCCTGGCTATACTTGTCTTTTTTAAGAAAAGTACTTTGCCCATGATTTTTATCATATAGGCAGACTTTCTAGAAGAGCTGCATGTAATCTGTATGCAAGCGCACATTGCAGTGCCTCCTGGGGTCCCAGTTCTCCAGGCATCCCCCCTGGGACTAGCTTGGATCATGTCATGGCTCCTGGGCAGCCCTCAAACCTGTGTGTCTTTCCTGCAGTAATTAAGGAACAAGAACAAGGTAAAGGAGTATATGCCAGGTCTCATCTTGAGATTCTGGAGGTAGAATATGACTGAAGAACTGTATACTTGCTCCTGGCAATGGGAGAGAGTTCCTGGGCTGGTATTGTATGAAGATATAGAGAAAAATACAYTGGTGGTTTTAATGAGAAAAAATATAGAATGAAAAAGACTATTGCAGTTTTAAGGGATCAACAATGATCATCTAATCCAGCGACCTGACCAAATTAAAACATGTTGATGGTGGCATTGTCTAAATGTCTCTTAAACATTGSCAGGCTTGGCCACCTCTCTTGGAAGCCTGTTCCAATGTTTTACCATCATCTTGGTAAGGAAAAGCTTTCCAGTGTTCAGTCTAAACCTTTCCTGGTGCAGCTTTGAACCATTGCACAGTAATTATATGGTACCTCGTCCTCAAGCTTTTGGTTTGATTTGGTAGAACTGCTTGTGGAACAAGGAATAGTTTAACACTAAGTTCTGACTAAAATATGTGGTGTAGAATTTATTGAACTTCACTTGGCTTAGTGCTCTCTAGAGTGAGATAACGAGCCCAAGTTTGTCTCGGTTTTTGAGACAATGTTTTTCAGAGAAAAAAAAAAGTTACAGGGAAATGTTTCCTCTGAAATGAAAATAAATTTGATAATTTTACCCCACCAACAAGAAATAGAGGCTGGGCAAAAAAGGTGAAGAGGAAAAAGGTAGTTTTATTAACAAAAACACAGTGCCCACAGGACACAGATWAGAGTAACCGTTAGATCAGAAGGATACAGATAAAAAGTAACTGTCAGATAYTCAAACAAAAAAACTCGCCAYGCGGCAAGGCAGCGACTCCGCCCCCGGGAAAAAAAAGAAACAAAATGAAAACCCATGTGGCTGTTTTTGTAACAGTGGCAACAAGAAAAAAACAACCGAAAGAAAAGAACGGTACCACAGGCCCCGCTTCCCAGTGGATGAAATCAGAGGGCTCAGCGTGCCTCTGCTGCCAGCCCGGTCAGCCCTGGAATACCGGACGCGATGGAGCCGCGCGG